TGGGGCGCCAGCCTCGTCCCAAGGACTCCCAGCTACAGAGTCCCCCAGGGCTGCTGGTGGCGGGGGCGGGGGGGTAGGGGAGGGACACTGAAGGGGCCCTCGGGCAGTGGAGTGTCATCCTTGCTACACCTGCCCCTGGCAGGGCTGCTCTGACCCCAGGGGCCTGGTCAGGGCACTGCCATCAGCTCGTCCAATCCTGGACCAGGAGGCAGCATCTCCACCCTCTGTCTCTAGCGGTGCCCGGGCTGTCCTGGGCCCAGCAGGTGAGAGGAGATGGGAGCAGCACCCCTCCCCCGCATCTGTGTTTCTGGGAAGGCAGCCACGTAGCTGGACAGGTGCCCAGAACTCCAGGCACTGAGCGTGTGGCTCCACCTCGCACTCACTCCGGCTGTGAAGCAGGTGCCAGAGGTGCCGCTGTACACGGCAGAGTGCTACCTCCAGGGAGCCACTGGACCCGGCTCCTGGCTGGACAGTCTGACATGGCCGGGGTCCTGCCCAGGCCCTGCTGATTCAGGGCTTGACACAGAGTCAGCGTCATGAGGTTGGCCCTGCCGGTCCACAAGTGGCCCCAGTAGGCAGGACCACGGCTCTCTGGAGCTTGAGGGGGCCTCTGCAGCTCAGTTAGGAAGGTCCGAGAGCTGGGGTTGGGGAAGGGGAGGGCAGTCTCCCCAGAGCCCCAGGGGCTTCCTGCCACAGTGGGGGTGTGTGAGTCCAGGCCAGGTCCCTGCGGGAGGGCTCTCCAGGTGGGGGTGGATGGCAGCAGGGCTGGAGGAGGTGGTTCTGCCAGGCCCAGGACCCACCGCCTGTGGGTCAGCATGGGCTCGAGGCACTCTGAGGCTCAGCAGGGTCTGGCTTCAGCGTCCTGCTCCAGGCCCCTCTAGAATCTGGGAACCCACTGGAATCTGGGAACGATGGACCAAGCTGCAGGCTCTCTGAGCGGATGCCCCTCACCTGTGTTGGACAGAGGTCCACGGGGCCAGGTCACCCCATTCTTCCCTCAAGGCCTGGGTGCAGGCTCTCGAGTGCCACTTGGCCCCAGGAAGGGCTGGGGCCACGAGCTGGGACTCCTGGTGCCTGGATTGCACGCAGGGAAGGGGTGGGGAGGGGCATGGATAGAGGGGCACGGGCCGCCATGTCCAGGCAGTACCGTGAAGGCCTCTGCGGGGGTAGCCCCGGGCATCACCATCTCCTATCCAGAGTGGGTCCGAGGTCGCTGACACAGGACCCCTGAAGCTGAGCCAGAAGGTTTGCGTTTGCCCGAGTCCTGCATCTCTTCCCCTGTATTTAAACAAGCATTTCATTTTCAAATTTCACTAGGCCGAAATGTCCTGCTTCGAGTTCCTGCTGTGGGAAGTGAGGGCCACGTTCAGCTCCCTCCCAGTAATGCCTTAGGGTCAGGGGTCCCTCTGGGTCCTGGGAGAGCCTCCTTGATGGGGAGCTTCATCCTGGAGCCCGAGACCTGCACAGAGCCAGGCAGAGCCGTGCAGGGAGAGGGTAGGGCAGGCAGCTCAGCCCTGCAGCTCAGCCCCTGCATGTCAATGGCAGTGGGACCTGCCCAGGGGGAGGGAATGCCACACGACCTGGCCCCTGGCACAGCAGAGACTGGGCTAGTTAGGGCAGTCCTGCACCGCTGGGGCCGGCCGCACGCTCCTCCCGACTCGTTCTGCAAGGGCGACACACACAACTCAGCGCCTGTTTTGGCCCGCAGCGCTCCCGGGAGCAAACGCGCGGCTCTGAGACCTGGCCAGCCCTCCCTCTGCTCACTGTGCTGTCCTTCCCTAGGAGTCTCCTCCGGTCCTTGCTCATAGCTCACCTCTGCAGGGAGGCCACGTTCACTGCCCAGGTTAACGTCACCGTCTCTCCTGCCCCGTGACTGCCCTTCTTGTCTTCTGTTCAAGAGCAGGGATCGTCCTCTGTCCCGCAATAGCACACCCATATCTGCATGGTCTCCGTGTGTGACAGCCACGCCCGCGCAGCAGGTACTGTGTGGGCCAGGCGTTTTCTTTGAGGCGCATTTTGGCAGGTCCGTGGCAACCTCTAAAATGGACGAATGGATGGGCAAGGAGTAGGGCTCTTGGGACACCCTGCCTCCTGCCACACCCCAGCGCAGATGCCCCAGGGTCCTGGACAGCTCCAGAAGGGAGATTGGGATCCATTTCTTAGGGTCTCAGGCAGAGCACGAGTTCTGGGTCCACACAGCCAGCACAGTTCTCCCCTGGCCTCACTGCGGCCTCCTGGTCTGTGGCCCATCAGGCCGGGGCACAGAGCTGGCACCCCACTCCCTCTGGGAGCACTTTGGCTGTCTCCCCACCCCCAGCCAACAGAGGGGAGACTGGCAAGAAGTGTAATTTTCAGTTGCTAATTGTGATGCCCTGCAGCTTGCCGAGCTAAAAATAGTCTCCGTTTTTGTTGAGTAGGTTAAAAAATAGAAGCCCATGTGCTGCTCGGAGAGAAGCCCCCTTGCCAAGCCTGGCAGAGGCGGGACTGGCTTGTACCCTGCCCCCAGCTCCTGGCAGAGCTCTGGGACTCGCACAGAATGAGCCCTGAGGGTCATTTTGTCCCAGCTTTCCGGGAAGCTGGGCTCCACCTCGGGATGTGTGTCTGGAAGCCACCAGTCCCTGCAGTCATGGCGGAATGTCGCAGAAAGGTGCCCTTGCCCACGTGTGTGAGGGAGGGCCTCAGCCCCCATCTGACTCAGGGTCGTGCTCCTGCGGGGAACACTTAGGGGCAATGTTGACAGACTATGGTCCGGGGAGAAGCTGGGATGTGGCGCCGCCGCCTGGCAGACCCATGCATGGCCACCTGCCCAGGCCACCTTTCGCACGTGAGTCCTGTGTGTTGAGCCCGTGTCCTCTGAGAAGAGGGCTCTTGGCGCTGCCCCGGGTGCGGGGGAGCGCAGTTCAGTGCGTTGGGAACTCGGGGCCTGGCACACGCTCTGCTCCAGTGCCTGACGTTGGAAGCCGGTGTGGTGTTGCCAGCCAGCCGCTGAGCTCCGCGCTGCTCAGAACTGCAAGCCCTGCCGGCTCTGGGGCTGAAGAGCCCTGGGATTCTGACTGGGCCGGGAAACGGTCCTCTCTGTTCTGTCCTGGAAGCAGAGGATATCAGGCACACAGCTGGGCCTGGGAGAGCCCACGGACGGGCCAACCCCTCCATGACCCTGTAGGGAGGGGACCAAGAGACTCTCCACTTGATTTACTGAGGAAACTGAGGCTCAGAGCAACCTAGGGGCTTCCTCACAGGATGCGAAATCAGAACGTGTCTCCTGACCCCACATTCCACCAGAGACCTGAGCCCAGGACCTGCAGTCCTAGGACAAGCCTCAGCCGGTGGGATGGATGGTCGCAGGGCGGGGATGCAACAAGGGCAGGAGGAAAACGGCAGGGGGCAGGGCAGGGTCGCCTGGCTAGGCCGTGGAGGGGGCATTGGGCGTGAGGCTGGAGGAGAGGCAGCGTCAGGACCCCATGAGCCACTTTGTGCTCTGAGAACAGTAGATGTGCCAGGCAGGGTGCCGTGGCTGCTCCCTGGGGGCTGGGACAGCCGGAGGTCAGGCTGAGCGACGGGAGATCTGGGGGGCGGCCAGTGGCCGGACATTGCTGGCTGCAGCTTATCCTGGCCAGCAGGGAGCAAGGGCCTCTGGGGCGCAGCCTCTGCCAGGCAGCCCTCCTGCCCACCTTCCCCAGCACAGCCCAGCTCCAGCTTCTTGCAGTGCTTCTTGGTCTACCAGGGCTCAGGCTCACCCAGTGGCACTGCTGCAGAGGAGGGGTCCCCACAGCCCCAGACTCTGACCCTGAAGAAGCTGCTGGAGAGGCCACCTGCCCTCCCAGCTCTGGGCCTGGAGCAGCCAGCACGCGAGGCCAGAGGCAGCTTCCTGTGCTCCCTGCTCCCGCCGCACCCGGAAAACCTTGTAAATGCCAGCGCCAGGGCTGCCCGCAGACCAGCTCTGCAGAGCCACCAGGTGGAAGATGGGCGGGGTGTCTGCCAAGTCCCCAGGTGTTTCTGGTGCGCAGCTGCAGCTGAGAGGCACTGGCCTAGTTGAGAGGACACCTGGCCCAGGAGGTCCCCTAGCCCTCGGTGCCTCTTGGCAGCACGTGGAGGATGAGGGTGTCCTCGGGTTATGTGAGGGGTCAGGGAGGTTGCACAGCTCTAGCCCTCAGGTCACTTAGGGCACCTGCTAAGTGCTCAGTCAGCTGTCGTCATACACACGATCGCCATTGCACCGCCCGCCGAAGACCGGAGCTCAGACTTCTTGGTTCTCAGCTCTGAGTGGGCCCTGCCCTGAGGAGGGAGCCCCCGGCAGGGAGGAGCTCGCCTAGGCATGCAGTCACCAGCCGCAGCTGTGAGGTGAACCCCGGGGGCTGGTGAGTGGCCGGCAGGGGAAGTGTGGTCACACGTCCGTTTAACAGCTGGGAATGTCGAGGGCTGATGTGCATCTGCTGCAGAGCTGGGATTCTGACCCGAGGGTGCTCTTCATTTCCACCCAGAGAAAGCACTTGGAGACCATCCTCAAAGTGCTCTGTGAGAGACCAGCAGTTGGCGTAGTGGCTATGTCGCTGGACTCCCATGTAGTCGACTATGGTTCGAGTCCCGGACCCGGTGGCTTAAACTCACCCCGGATGCGTGTGCGTGCATGCCCAAGATCCCGAGAGAAGAATGGAGAAGGGATTGCGGCTGGCCATCCCCCCAGGGGGTGATTTCTCGCTTTCTGTCTCTCTCTTTCTGGCGAGTGCATGTGCCCTATGCAAAAAAATAAAGAAAAAAAGAAAAGAAAGAAAGAAAGAAAGAAAGAAAGAAAGAAAGAAAGAAAGAAAGAAAGAAAGAAAGAAAGAAAGAAAGAAAGAAAGAAAATTAAAAGTGCTCTGTGGCTTGGCTGGGACAGCCTCCTGGACTCTGAGCATGTCCCCAGGGCCTGCAGGGGAGAGGAGTGATGAGGGAGTTTGGGGGAGACCTAGCCCTGAGCAGCATCCCTGGGTGGGTCTTAGGGGAGGCAGGATAGGAAGACCCTGGGTGCCATCACCCCTGCTGATTCCCTCAGGTGGTTCTGAACCCCTGCTGATGCCTATGTGCCCTTGGGCACCCCACCAGCCCTCTGCAGACCCCAGAGAAAATGCATTCTAACATGTGTGGAGCACTGTCTGACTGCCCGGCTTCGGGGGTGTTCTAAGCCTGCACCCTGCCCCCATCCCCGTCATGGAGGGAGGGCGGCACCAGACCTCGGGGCTGTTCAGCCCATCCCAGCCTCATTCCTCCTTCCAAAGGGTTTTCCTGGAATTCCGAGGAACCTTTGGATGTGGCAGGTAAACCATTGTCCTCCGGGCTGGGTGCCTTTATTCCTCCTGAGAGGTGCGGTTGGTGCTCTGGGGGAGAGGGAGGTGGCTCTTTGCTGGCACAGCCACTGGAAGGCAGTGAAGTGATCATGGCTACCGTTGATCTGCGGAGCGGGGAAACTGAGTCCAGAGTGGCTCAGGGGTTGGCCCCAGCCCACAAGGCCCGTGCTGAGCACCTGTCGACTGTGCAAGGGGCCACAGAGCCACCGAGGAGAGTCTGGGGGCACTTTTCACTGCTTTTTGAGTAATGCCTTGCTCAGGAATGAAAAGGCAGGGGACCTGGGCTGTCTTTGGGGCTGGGCTGTTGCAGCGGTACCCACTCACCAGCCACAGGACAGGCTGGCAGGATGCCCAGCTCTCCTTTGACCTTGGCTGCCTGTGTCCTGTGCCCACCCTGCAGGGTGGGAGAGGCTGAGACTATCCAGGACAGGGAGTGGGCCCACAGGGCCAGCAGGAGGGAGGGCAGCTGCTAGCTTTGGGGGCCCTCTGCTGGCATATGCTCCGTGGTCCTCACCAGCCCCAGGGTGGCTGCTGAAGGCAGTATGGAAACAGGCCTGGGGGTCCAGGCATTTCCCAGCCTGGTGAGAGCACTGGGCAGAGGCCTGGCTGCAGTGTGAGGTGGGGTGTGGTGGCCACCAGGAGCCCCCGGCGCAGACACCATTCTAGGCATTACAGTCCCTTGTGCCCAGCCTCCTGCTGGCCAAGAGCTCAGGTCTGAGACTGGTATGAGACTGCTTGGCTGTCGCCCAGGGCCGACCCTGTCTCCACCTTCTCTGCCACTACCCAACCTGACAGTTCCCCTGCTACAGCAAAGACAGCCAACCGGCCTCCAGCTGCCTCCCAGTGGGCTCACTGGGGTTTCCACGTTGCAGCCACGGTCAACCAGGTCACTGCTCTGGCCTGGGCTCCCCATCGCTTGGAGAAACAGCATTCTGGCCTCTGGCCCGAGTGGGCGGGCGCGGGTCCTCAGACCGCTCATGTACAGGCGCACCTGCCGTGACTCCTCGGCACCTGCTCTTCCCGCGGCTGGAGTGCTCTCCTTATCCCCGCAGCTGCAGGGCTAACGCCATCCATTGTTCAAACAGGCCCTACGGTGGGTGCCCTGACCCCACGCCACCGCCCCTGGCACCTGCCCCTGGCATTTTGCCCAGGTTTCACTCTCTCTGGACATCGCTCCAGGAGGCAGGCTGTGTGTGTCCAGGCCCGGGAGTGAGGCCTGGCGCGCACCGATAGGTGCAGAAGAAGCGTTCATTCATCAGATCCTCAGCGCCTGGGGACCAAGAGGAGCCCGCCCCATTCTCGGGGACAGGGTGGGGGGCCACCCTCGGTTCTCACCGTGCCCTTGTCACACTGGGCAGCAGGCGCCCGGGCGGGGCCTCGCGGAGGCCAAGTCGACCCTTATGGCCTCGCTCCTTCCTCCCAGGAAACGATGCCGCAGTCGTCCGCCGTCTTCTCCAGCGCGCTCGGGCCCAGCGGTAGCGGCGGACAGGCGCAGCCCGGCAGGGGGGAGCGGGCGGGCGGGGCCGGCGCCTCCGGGGACCTCGTCTTCCAGGAAGGACGCCTTCTCTCCGGGTCCTTGGAGGCCCTGATGGAACACCTGGTCCCCACGGTGGACTATTATCCTGATGTGAGTGCCTGGGGACAGAGGGAGAGACTTGGGTGGGCCACCTGGACTCCAGGAGGAAGCCAGACAGAGCTGCGCGATTGGACAGCGCAGCATGGCAGCCCCGTCTGCCTAGACTGCTGCTCTGCTCTCAAAGCCCCCAGGCCTGGACGGTCTGCCGGGACCTGCAGTGACTTCCCGCTGCTGCCCCCGGGCAGTTCGAGATGGCCCAGGTGAAACAGACGCTGGTGCCTAGGGGTCCGAGCAGGGGTCTGAGTTCTGGGCAGGTCCTGGGAAATGAGGAGGGGTATCTGGGGACCCTTGGGGTCCCCGCCAGGGCACGCCAAGCCTGCATCCTGGAGCACATCGCCGAGATGGGAAGCTTTGTTTTGTTTAAGTTTCTTTCATGAGACACACACGTAGGCACACGCACGGAAAGACAGTGACGGGGACCCTCGACAGGGTTTTGCCTTGCCTATGTCCTCCCTCCAGCATGTGAGCATCCAGGTTCACGGATGCGCTGGACATGTGCAGATGGACCGGGGATCAGAACCTGGGGCCTTTCCAGATGGCTCCTCTATTGCCTTTCGCTCTGCTCTCTGGCCAGCATGGCTGGACCAGGAGCGCTTGTTTTCTGCCTAACTCCAGTGGTCCGGAATGGAGAGGGCTCCCGCTCTCCCGCCGCAGCCCAGCTGCAGAGGCCAGGGCAGAGAGGAACCGCCCTCCGCAGGACTGTGGAGCACCAGCCCAGTCCGCCTCTTCCACTGCAGGCAGCTGCACTCTAGGAACAGAGAACCCATCGTGCCTGGCGGGCTTCCCTTCCGCCTGGCCAGATGTCTCGTGCAGCAGTGGACTGCAGGCGATGGCTCCCTTGCGGGTGCTAGCACCTGTCCTAGCACCTATCCTTGCAGGGGCAGTCCTGGTGGCACTGCCCCCCTCCCTCCCTCCTCAGGACAACCCTTCTGGTCTGCCTTGGCCAGTCAGACCAGCTTGCAGGGGAGGGCAGTTCCTGCCCCAGTCTCCACTTGTCAGGCCTCCTCCACCCTCGGGGCTCTGGGAAGGACTCACCCACTTCTCCACCATCTGTCCATCTCATAAACCCCGTGAGGGCCTGGCTGGGCTGCTGAGTGCCCCAAGGGCGGAGCCAGGAGCAGGTCTAAGGCCCAAGAAGCCCAGGCGGGGCCACGGCCCTCTGACCCCAGTGCCAGTCTGTGGGGCAGTGGCCTTGTGCAGCGGCTGAAGGCCTATCCCAAGGAGGCACCCGGGACACCATCACAGCATTCTGTAGTTCCCAGAATGCTGTGCACTGGGGTGCTCACGGCTCTCCAGGAGAGAACAGAGGCGTGGCAGTGGCGGGAGGTGGCACAGGCGAGTCCAGCTGGGCTGTGGCTCCTCTGCCAAGCTCCAGGGTCCCCACCTTGCCCTGTCCTTACTGCATGGGCAGCCAGACACGTGCACATACCATAAACACATGCACACACACACATACACGTGTGTGCATAGGCATGCATGCACACCAGTAAGTCTTCTCTCTCCTCGCAGATGCACATCCTCCTCTCTGGAGTGCCCCTGCCTTTGACTAAGAGCTCCATGGAGTGACAGCTGTGTGCTTAGATGGGAGCCCTGAGCTCCCATACTGTACCACATGGAAGGGCTGCCCCCAGAAGCCTTGCTCCCCCCATAGAAAGCTCCTTGGCAGCAGTGAGGGCTTTGGGCCCTTGGTCCTGCTCTGGGAGGCCTTTGCTCCCAGGAAACTATGCCTGGCTTGGTTCAGGCTGGAGCAAGGAAAACCTGGCCCTTTGGGAGGAGAGTCAGGGTGGAGGGCCTGGCCAGCAGCCGTGCAGGGCAGGGTGAGGTCTGAACATGCTGAGGCTGCAAGCAGCTTCCTCAGCCCTGCGAGCCGAGGCCAGTCTGAGGACCTCATGGCACTGGGCCATGTTCCTGCTGCTTTTCAGTCCAGTGACGAGTGCACATGGACGTGGGGTGGAGGGTCCTTGGGTGCTGAGGCCTGCCCCACCATGCCCACCTGCTGACCTCAGTCAAGGCCCCTGAGGACACAGAGCCTGGGGCAGGGCATCAGGGTCACACAGGCCTCTTCCACGGCCAGGGCTGGGTGTAGCCCCCACTGTGTCGGGGTTGGGGTGCTGGGGAGTCCCAGTAGAACAGTTGGTGGCCAGAAAAGGCAGAGCTGCTGGGGCTGGATTCGAGCTGCTTCTCTGAGGTGGGCAGGATCGGGGCAGTGGTGAGAAAGGGAAGGACACCGTGCAGGCTGACCTGGCTGTGGACGGGCGGTGTGGGGCCTGGAGGGTGGCCAGGCCAGGTGGAGGGAGGCTGGGAGCCCACCTGGAGTTGCCACGCCAGGCCTGATGGGCTCTGGGCCTCTCTCCCTGCTCCTGTGTTCAGAGGACATACATCTTCACCTTGCTG